CCATTCCTTAGGTCACATGCTAGTCACTCACTTCCAGGTACTTTTTAGTTTTTAAAAAGAAAATTTATTTTACTTTATGAACCCGCAGTAAATGTAGATGCTTTTTAAAATTTTACTTATTTCTTTTGGCCCTTCTGTGAGGCATGTGGAATCTTAGTTCCCTAACCAGGGATCGAACCAATGTCCCCTTCAGTGGAAGTGAGGAGTCTTAACCACTTGACCACCAGAGAAGTACCACACTACCAGGTAATTTTGTATTCTGGTTATCTGGAATCCATTCTGATTGCCTTATCCTTGCTTCTGGTTAGGTACCTCCATGCCTTCTGCCTTGTTATCTGAGTCCCAAGGCTTTTCTCAGTGTTTCATTTCCCGCTGTAAGTGTCTGGCCCAGACAGAGATGAACAGTGAAGCTAATGAAGCTTAAGATTAAGCTTCAGAGTCATTGGCATTTCGAGGCCTGAAGGCCTTAGCATTATGGTATATGCCAGTCATCTCGTTTGTAAAATCTATGAAATGTGGTTTAGCCACAGTTGTTTCAGGGCAACTCTGTGTCCATTCTTCTGTCTCCATCACTCTTTCTGTTGTATTGGGTGGCTCTACAGTGACCATTGGCAGATTGGGAATCTGGCTAAGGGGAGACTAAATCAGGATAAGTGTAAGTGTGAAAACAGACACATGAAGTTGTGCAGACGTGGAGGAGTGAGCCCGAGGTACAGGGAGTGTGGAAGTCATCTCCCCACTCCCCCCTTGCCCCTGTGGAATGATGTCTGGACAGGGCTAACCCTCTGTCTCCAAATGCTGACAGTCGTTTTGGGGTCCCACGGGCTGGGTGGCTCAGCTACATTCCGTGTTGTTTCAGGAGGCCAGCAGCTGAGGTCAAAGTGTCAGCTGACGTTGGCTCTTCTGTGGGCTGTGGGGCGAGTCTGTCCCATCTCTCCCCCCTCCCTTCTGGGGCATTATTGGCCATTGTGGGCGTGTCTGGGCTTGGAGAGCTCCACCTTCCTAGAGTTCTCCCGTGTGCCTGTTTGTCTCTAAATGTTTCCTTTGTATGGGGACAGCCGTCCTGTTAGAGGACGGTCCATCCTAATGAGCTCACTTGACCCCCATCAGCGCTGTGAAGACCTTTTCTTTGTAAGGTCATGACGAGACAGTTGGGACTGACATTCCAGCACCTGACTCTGAGGGGACACGATGTGATTCCTCACGGCCTACAAAGGCTCTGAGGTAGGAACAGACTGGAGTGTTCCAAGGATGGAAGGATGGCCTTCATGGCTACCAGGTGTGAATCCAGGGGCGAGGAGAGCAGGCCGCCAGGGTAGGAGCCAGATCACGTGGGGCCTTGTGAGCCTATGAGAACTGTGGCTCTGCTGTGCTTGGGGAAGGAAAGGCCCGGGAGTCTCTGGGCTGGGTTCCTCTGGGACCTTTTTCCCATCCTGACGGCCACGTGGAAACAGAGGCTCCCTGCGAGGTGCTGAGAGCCTGCTGAGGTCCAGGCCCTCCGCCTCAACTGCCTGTGCTGCTCTGCGATCACCCTGCTCCAGTGAACAGGGACCCCTCCTCCAGATACATGCAAAGAAGTGAGGATGGAGGTGCGTGTGGTCAGGTCCCATGCTGTCAGGTGCTATCTCTCTATCTCTCAGCATCTCCTAAGCCATGGAACGAGGTGACAATAACCTAGCAGGTTATTTGAGGTTTGAATTCTCTGATCCCTGCGTGGTGCCATTCCAGGCCCTGGCAAGGACACAGAGCATGGCTGTCCCAATAGTTCCTCCTCTCCTTCATTCTTTCTCTAGGCCCTGGGCAGGGGATGGGGCATCTGCTGAGAGTGGAGGCAGTAGGGAGGGTTGGGAGGAAGGTGGCTTCCATAAGGCATGGGGAAGACACCTGGCAGGGCCGTCTGAGGTCCAGGGCACCCCAGGACCGAGGACAGATTTGTTAGCACGGATCTGCCCTCAGCAGCACCGGGCTGAGATGTGGGATCTGCAGAGCATGGGCAGGGACGGGACCAGGGAGCTGAGGGGTCTTTGTCAGCTGTGGCTCAGGACACACACAAGCCATCATGATGTCCAATGCCTGCCTTTCTCAGCCTCGTTCTCCTGCCCCTGTGCTTGGAGTACCCGCCCTGGTGGCCCCAGCCCAAAGGCCCTCCAGCTGCTCCCTCTCACTGCGGCTTGGGAGCCCTGGAGCCTTGGGGGTCCGCCTGTGTTCCCTTCCCTCCCATACCAGACGAGGCTCCTGTAGGGCCTTATCCCAGTGGGCACTGGGACCATACAGTCAAGCTCTCCCTCCCTCCTGCTCAGTGAGGAGCTGGTCAGCCTGGCAGATTCCATTGGGCAGGAGGCCCATGGCAGCAGCAGGGACAGGGCACCGCCCTCACACAGGAGGTGCTGGCACTGGACAGAGACACTGGCCCCCAGCAGAGTCAGTTCTCAGCAAAGCACAGAGCACCCCCACAGTGCTTCTGATTCTCCTTGTCCCCTTCCTTTCACAGGCCTGCATTTTGTCACCTCAGCGGCATCGTGTAGCACTGAGAAGAGGAAGGCGTGAGAAGTAGGAAGGTTGGGCCATGGCCTGGGGTGGGCAGGAAGGGCGGGGTCTCCAGAGGAATTGAGACCAGCACTCTGAGCCCACCCCGGCCTTCACTTGCACGTGGTCTTGGGAAGATGCCCAAGCCCCGTGGCCTCAGTTCTTCATCTGGGAGGCGAGCTGGTGTGAGGAGCCCCATGTGTTGGGCTGCAGGATGCACCTGACAGATGACACAGAGCTCGCAAGGCCTGGTGGCTGTTGGCCCTGTGATGGCGGGGCAGAAATTTCTCACACTGTTTCCCCCAGACACTCCCCCACTGTCCACTGGAGTGGGTTGCCTGCGTTGTTGTCCAGGGTGGGTCAGAGAATTTGCACCTCAATAGGATGTGGAAGAGCTAATATGCCAAATAGGACGCTTCATAAATGTACTAAGAAACTTTTCTACCTAGACTGTAGTGGACCATAGCGTTAGCCACTCAGTCTTGTCAGACTCTTTGAGACTCCATGGACTGTAGCTTGCAGTCTCCTCTGTCCATGGAATTCTCGAGTTAAGAATACTGGAGTGGGTTGCCATGACCTTCTCCAGGTGATCTCTTGACCCAGGGGTTGATCCCAGGTCTCCCACAATGCAGATTCTTCATCTTTTGACCTACCTGGCAAGCCCCAGTTCCAGTTAGAGGAACTGTGAAATTTGGATGTGGAGGAATGTTCCAGCAGGACCCAATCTGCTATAAGGAACAGAAGCAAGAAGCACTCGTTGTCTCTGTCCCAGCTGATCTTCCATCCAAACATCACTTTCCTTCATTGCAGCCCCAACAAAGGTCAAGTTCTTGTTTAAAATGGCCAACTACAATCAAGATAATTTAAAGCTAATTAACACCTTGGGTTCTGGATCCCCAGGAGTAGGAAAGAGAGTAGTTCCATGGATTTCTTGGGAAACATTTCAAGGGGTTGCAACCAGAGTTCTGCAGGATTCCTTGCAGATATTGGGGGGAAATCCCTTCTTTGCCCCTGTGGTCAAGAGAAAAGTGACAAGATTTTTGACCCCTTCTGTTCTGACCCAGAAAGATATCTCTCTTATCCAAGATGCAAAAGGACACATCACAGCAATGATCCATTTCAGACTTTCCTGTCACCCCCAAGACACTGTCTGCAAGTCTGAGGGATGCCACCACCCAGCCTCCCACAGACGCAATCCAGCTTTCCAAAGCCCCAGACAGCCCTGGCTCAGGCACTGACACTTGAGTGCTCCTCCTGGAGCCCCACCACCCTGCCCTCTGTAGCCTTGTTCAGTGGGACTAGGTGATGTCTCTCCACCTTCCTCGTGTGAGTGTGACTCCTATATCATCACTTGAGGTGTGGGGGTGTCCTTCTTCTCCTGCTGTCCCCACTGCTAACATGGCCTTTCATAGGGAAGAGACTCCATAAAGATCTTCATAATAAATGTGCCAGTCAGGAGGGAGCTCAGATTACTTGTATGCTACTTCCTTAAATAACCCAGGCAAATCCAAATAAACAGAGATCATTTAGTTTTGGAGAATGGCACACAAGAAGGGCAAAAGCATGGATTCACTACAATTACTTTTATCATCTATTTCTTCCCCCATCAATATTACCGCTAAGTAAGCTCACTTTTCCAAAACAGTTCTAATTCCACTTCGATTGTGTCCTGTTCAGGACCACAAAGCACAGTGGAAGTGTCCCCAATCTCTTTTACAAAACAGCAAAACTCTTGTTCTTGAACTGGGTAAGCACAAACACATTGTGATCAACATCATTCACACTAAGACACTGAAGTTTATTTCGCCTTCTATAAAAACAATCACAGTTTGAAAATTTTCTAAGGAAAACAGAGATGAACCTCCATGTCATCGAAGAGAACAGGAACCCAAAGATGCGACACACCAGTTTCTTCAACTGGCCAGGGCCCTCACTTCTGAGAAGGCTGACTGCTCCCTCTTTAATCACAGAGGGAAGGATCAGCCTGGCTGCTGCTCTTGTTCAGGCCACCTCATCCTCCTCCCTCGCAGCCTCTGCAGACTGCAATGAGAAGGACCTCAAACTCCTTCGCTTGAGCCTGAGCAGAAACGCCAAGACTTGCCACTTGCTGGTCTCTGCAGAGGCCCGGAGACCCTACAGGAACTTGTAGCAGGCAGGGTGGCTGTCAGGGACCTGCCGCTACTCCAGGTACCCCTCCTGTACCCGGACGTGGGTCAGCAGTTCCCTGAGCTACCTAAAGACGCAGTGCTCATTCCCGACACACACTCCCATCCTGCTGAGTGCTCCCCAGACCTCCTCCTTAGGGGCACAGTCTCCATTATGCATGATTGGGCCAAGGACCAGCATCAGGAGGCCAGCCTTAGGCAGGCTCTGCCCAACGCTCAGCACTGAATGGCAGCTGAGGGCCATGGTCGCGACCATGGCTCCCTGGGGTCCATCTCCTTCACCTCCATGCCACAGACCAGCTGGAGGCACTACGAGGCTTGCCTTAAGACTACCGGGAAGTGCTCCTGGTTATCCCTAAGGACCTTCTTCAGCATTTCCGCCTGTGAGGTCAGCTCCTTGGCCTGATACTTGAGGAGCAGGAACTTCAACAGGTTAGCCACCATCTCATTCAGAGATTCCTGGGGCAAGGCCTCTCCAGTGGCCGAGGAGGACACTGTGGGGGAGTAGGCCAAGGGGGATGCAGCCTCTCCCCTGCCTCAGCCCCCAAGTGCTGCACCTCCACCAGGGCTTGGGCATCGCCTGGGCCCTGAAGACCTTCCTTGGGCTTGCTCAGCTCACTCGTCTCAGCAACAAGCATGACTGGAGTCAAACCACAGACAGGAGTGAGGCAGGGGGACAGATGAGGACCAAGGGGATTGGGGGAGGAAGTGGTGGGAGCGGCCTCGACTGAGAACCACATGCTGGGCAGTCTGGCTCAGGCCACTTACTGGTCTCCCCTTGAGGGGTTCACTCAGATCTCACAAGGGAGGATCCCCTGGCTACCTGAAGGAGGAAGTGAAGTGGCTCCCCAGGATGCAGACAGCACAGCCCGAGATTTCTGGCACTGACAAGGTGCAGGGATTAGGGCCTTGCGTGATCCCCTCTGTTCTGGGATGGGGAGCCCCTGGTGCACACTCAGGGCACCATCCTCACCTTGATTCCTGGCACTACTTGGACCTCCTCTGCTCTCTGACCTCAGGACATGGGCCTCAGACCTCCACTTTCCCCTGCTGGCTCCTGGAGCTCCTGTGGGAGAAATGGAGAGGACACCGTGATGGTATCCTGTGGCACAGCCATGGGCCTTCTGAGATGGTAAGAGGGGTGGACTCTGTGAGGTCCCCCCATTGTGTGCTGGGAGGTCACATCGGGGTTCCCTTGTAGTGTTCACCTTTCCTCTGGCTGGCCTGGTCCCTCACCTTTGGGGGCCTGCAGTGAAAGTCAAAAAAGGCCCAAGTCTGAACAGAAAGGTCTGAGGGGATCCACATGTGGCCGTACTCACCCAGGGCCTCTCGCAGGTCTTAGGCTGGTGAGATGCTCGGTCCTCAGCTCCTCCTCATGTCCTACCTTGCCTCCCAGAACTGACCACAGTGGCAGGAGTCTGCTCAGTCCTCCCTCAGGGTTGGGGAGTCCAGCCTGTGCCGACCTGAAGCCTCTGCCCTCTGCCCAAAAAACCTCACCTTTCAAGGTCCCTAAGCCAGCAATCAATAAACGGCTTACCCCGCTCACCCCATTCACAGAATCCAAGAGTTCCCACAAGGGCCAGGATCGCTGCCTCATATTTGGGTTCTAACTTCTTCAGTCCTTCCTTGCATGGAGCCTGGACTTTAGGCAGGACTGGGGATTGTACTGTCCACCATTTTGAGACCCTGCTTCTTTCACGAGGTACCCAGTCTCTCTGAGACCTACATGTGAGGAAGGCAGACAGGCCTAGTGTGCTCTTGTCACCCCAAGGTCTCCCAGGTACGACTACAGAGGCGGGAATCTGTGGGGTGCCGTCAGTCCTCACACAGGGCCCCCTCAGTCCTCCTTCACACACCTAACCTAACCTTGCCTCTGGGCAGAACATGGGATTCTCGGCTCTTCCCACCTGAAGCCCCACCCCTTATACCAGGGCACCAGTCTCTCCAAGGCCCGAATGTCAGGAAGTCAGCACATGACTGCTGCCCTCATCCTACCCCCATGGTCTCCCTGGACTGACAACAGAGAAGAGCTTCTCTGAGGTCTCCTCTGATTGGTGTCCAGGGTCCTCTAGTCCCTTGTCAGGGTACTCAACCTGACACCCGCAGCACCTGGGAATCAGCCCACCTGAGGCCCCGCCCCATATGCAAGGTCCCCAGTCTGAGACCCCATGTCAGGAAGTGAGACCAGGCATGTTGGGCTCATCCTACCCCAGGGCTGCCAAGGACCAACAGCAGCTACAGGCTTCTCTGAGTTCTCCTCTGATTGGGGTCCAGGGTCCCCTCAGCCCTCCCTCAGGGTCCTCAAGTAGAAACTTGGAGGAGCTAGGCTTCCTTCCTCTGCTCACCTGAGGCCACGCCCCCTAACCCGGGTCCCCAGTTTCTCTGAGACCCGGATGTCAGGAAATGCAGCATGTGCTCATCCACCCTCTGTGCTCCCTGAGCCTTGATGTGAGGGTCCTGCCTCTGGTCAACACAAAGGGCATCCCCAGATCTGCCAGGGTTAATGATGAGGTCCCTGAGGGATGATATGATATAAGGCAACCCCACTAATCCGTGCCCCTTCTGTCAGCCCTGGGTGACCCTGGTGGTGGGATGAGCACTTGGCAGCCTATTCTGACTTCCGCATCCGTGTCTCAGAGACATTAGACAACTGTTAGAAGGGACAGGGCCTCAGATGGGCAGAGGGGAAGATCTCAGTTCTTTTGAGAGTCAAGGCGAAGACACTGAGGGAGGACTGAGGGGACCCTGGACCCCAGAGCAGAGTGGGCTCTGGGAGGACATAGGGCAAACGAACACATGCTGCATTTCCTGGCATCCGTGTGTCAGAGAGACTGGGTCCTGGTATAGGGGGCTGACTTCCTGACATCTGGGTCTCAGAGAGACTGGGGTCATGGTGTAAGGGCTGGGAACTTAGTAGGGGAGAGGAGAGAATCCGAAGTCCTACCCATAGTAAAGCTGAGGTCCCTGAGGACGACTGACAGGACCCCGAGGGAAGACTGACAGAACCCCACAGATCCCCGCCCCTGTGTCAACCCTAGGAGCTCCTGGGGTGAGAAGGGCACACAAGGCCTGTGCTGACTTCCTGACATCTGGGTCTGTGAGAGACTGGGGACCTGGTGTGAGGAGCAGGGACTCAGGTGGGGAGAGGACAAGGGCCAGCGGAGTCAGCTCTTCCCATCAGGTGACCAAAGTATTGGAGCTTCAGCTTTAGCATCAGTCCTTCCAATGGATATTCAGGGTTGACTTCCTTTAGGCTTGACTGGCTTGGTCTCCTTGCTGTTCAACAGACTCTCAAGAGTCTTCTGCAGCACCACAGTAGTGTGGTTTATACATGGTAGTGTGTATCTCTTAATCCCAAACTCTTAATTTATCCCTTCCCCTGCTTTCCCCCTTTGGTAACCATAAGTCGTTCTCTGAGTCTGTATCTTCTCTGTAAATAATTTCATTTGTATCAACTTTTTAGATACTATAGAATATTTGTCTTTCTCTTTCTGACTTATTTTTCTTAATATAATAATCTCTAGGTCCATCCATGTTGCCACAGATGATATTACTTCATTATTTTTCATTTCTGAGTAGTGTTTGTGTGTGTGTGTGTGTGTGTGTACCACATCCTCTTTATCCAATCATCCATTGATGGACATTTAGGTTGCTTCCATATCTTGTCTGTTGTAGATAGTGTTGCAATGAACATTGGGGTGTACGTATCTTTTCATATTAGAGTTTTGTCTTTTCGAGTATATATTCAGGAGTGGGATTGCTGGATCATATGATAGTTGTGTTTGTAGTTGTTTAACGATCCTCCATACTGTTCTTCATATTGACTGCACCATTTTATATTTCCACCAACAGTCTACCAGGGTTCCATTTGCTATCCACCCTCTCCAGCATTTATTCTTCATAGGTTTTATTGATGATGGCCATTCTGACCAGGGTAAAGTGATACTTCATTGGAGTTTTGATTTGAATTTGTCTAATAATTAGGAATGTTGAGCATCTTTTCAAGTGCCTGTTGGCCATCTATGTCGTCTTTGGAGAACGGCTTTTTTGTCAGGGTCACACTGGCTGGGTGGCTCAAACTACAAACCACATTGGTTCAGGAGGCCGGCAGCTGAGGTTGAGGTGTCAGCTGATGTTGGCTCTCCTGAGGGTTGTGTGGAGAGTCTTCTCCATCCCTACTCCCTCACTTCCAGGGCATTGCTGGCCATGGTGGGCTTGTCTCAGCTCAGAGAGCTCTGCCTTCCTTTTCACCCTAATTCTCCTGTGTGCCTGTCTCTAAATGTGTCCTTCGTATGGGGCCAGCCATCCTGTTAGAGGAGGGTCCATCCTAATGAGTTCACTTGACATCCATCAGCTCTGTGAAGATCTTTCCTTTGTCTGTAAGCAGATGGCGTGGTGATGGACAGAAGGAGCCAGCCCTATGTGACACACCCATTCTGTGTCAGCGACTTGGAGGATGCTCAAACATATTGGGCTGAGGTCCGTCCCAGGGCTGTGAGCTTGGACGGCTCTGTGTCAAGCTCCTGACCTTTGTGGTTCTGTGTTTCTGCAATCACATGAGGCCCTGGGAGCCCTGGGAGTTGAGGTTCAGCTGTCTTTCTGACCGACAGCCTTACACGGGTTTCATCTTAAATGGTGTCAGGACCCTGGGGATGCAGTGGTGGCCCATGCTATGTGGACCCAGCACTGTACCCTAGCTGTCCACATTGTGCACCGGGACTGGGAGGATGCAGCCTGGCAGGAGCTGATATAGCAGAGGCTGGGGATGAGCTCTGCCCAGATCTAGGCCTTGCGGTGGGTCACTGACTAGTTTGGCCATGGAATGAGCACAGGCAAGTGATGCCCTGCCCTGCGCTGCCCGCACGGCACCCAGTACTGCCCTGGATCTCAGCCTGGTTATGTTCATTTGTTTTCTGTTGAACCAGTTGGTGGGAGGAAGGGAGGAGCTGAGGGTTCTTCAGAGGGACAGTGAGTGTCCCTAGGCTGGGGGACAGTGGCCCGCGATGCTTGACCACCACTCGGGGCCTCCATCCCCTCTTGTGCTATGAGGCAGAGGCACATCCAGCTCTGCACGTGGCACATGTCTCTGTGTGAACATGTGGGTGTGTGTGTACTCATGTGTATGTGTGTGCCCAGCAGAGACCATGAGAGGCAGGAAAGCACCCAGTCTGGGTTCCATACCCCCACTGCCTGTGCCAGGCCTAAGCAAGTCCCCTGACTCCCCAGTGGTGAGGCCCCACAGAAACACCTGTCTGCTGGTGAATCACTTGGGGACCTGATGCCTGCAGGCTCCCCGCTGGGACCTTCATGCTCTGTCCCTGTGTCCTGCGGTGGGTAGACTGAGAGTTGCCTGTGGGCTGGTGGGTTCCTGGTGCACCAGACCTCTCCTTTTTTTTTTTCTTTTTGCTCCCTCCCTCACTTGGCCTCACCCCAAATTCCCTTTGCTGAGATGAGCCTGTCTTAAATACTCAGCCAGAGGATTCAGTTCACCACAGTTCCCTGCCGTGACAAGTCTTAGTCTCTAGCAGGTGTGACTTTTATTTATTTATTTATTTATTTTCATTTATTTTTATTAGTTGGCGGCTAATTACTTTACAATTTTGTAGTGGTTTTTGCCATACATTGACATGAATCAGCCATGGATTTACATGTATTCCCCATCCCGATCCCCCCTCCCACCTCCCTCTCCACCTGATCCCTCTGGGTCTTCCCAGTGCACCAGCCCTGAGCGCTTGTCTCATGCATCCAACCTGGGCTGGTGATCTGTTTCACCCTTGATAATATACATGTTTCGATGCTGTTCTCTCTGAACATCCCACCCTTGCCTTCTCCCACAGAGTCAAAAAGTCTATTCTGTACATCTGTGTCTCTTTTTCTGTTTTGCATATAGAGATATCATTGCCATCTTTCTAAATTTCATATATATGCGTTAGTATACTGTATTGGTCTTTATCTTTCTGGCTTACTTCACTCTGTATAATGGGCTCCAGTTTCATCCATCTCATTAGAACTGATTCAAATGAGTTGTTTTTAATGGCTGAGTAATATTCCATGGTGTATATGTACCACAGCTTCCTTATCCATTCGTCTGCTGATGGGCATCTAGGTTGCTTCCATGTCCTGGCTATTATAAACAGTGCCCACTTCTGGGCATACACACCGAGGAAACCAGATCAGAAAGAGACACGTGCACCCCAATGTTCATTGCAGGTGTGACTTTTAATCACTTTGTTCTCCTTCTGTGTCCTGTCTTTGCACACAGGTCTCACGGACATTGGGGACACTTTGCTGTGCCCAGAAAACCTAGGACACGACCAGGTGGAGGAGCTGGAGATCAGGCCCTGTTACCCGACATGTAACAGAAGTACCTGACTGTTCTCACCAATTACTGCTGGCTGCTGCATCCTGTCCCGGAGAGGGGTGGGAAGGACATCTTACAGGTGGACATCCCTGAACACATGATTCCCCTTTGGGCAGGAGGCCTGTCCAAACTGGGCTCTCGAGAGGAAAGTGACTGAGAAACCAGCTCATGGTGACACCATCCAGTCACCGCTGTGCCCTGGACGTGCCCATCTGGTTCAGTCTGAATGGGCCCTGCCCACTTGGTGTGGGGCCAGGGGCTGGACTCCCCATGCGGTGCTGCTCTGGACTCAGTTAGAGTCTCTGGGACTTTGTCCTTTATGAAAAGATGGTGTTGCCAGTCGTTTTGGCCCTGCTGGGTCTGGGTGGTTGAGAGAAAAGTGTTGTTAGGAAACCAGTTAGTGTTTTTCCCTCTCTCTTCTGGTCCAAACTCTCCGATGTTGGAACAGTGTCCAGGGGGTGATGGGGAAGGCTGGGGGCTGGGCAAAGCATCGGAAGGCAGAGAGGCCCAACAGGCCCAGAGACAGGCCGTGGTGTGTCCTTTCACGTGACCCTTGTCCTACTGTAAAGTGTCCCTTGGCTCACAAGGCATGTGTGTAGGATGCAGCGCCTGGCCGGATGCTACACATCCAACGACAGACTCCTAAACACAGCTGTGAGGGCAGAGAGACAAAGGATGTTGTTCACCTTTTCGAACCATGTACTTGTCTTTGGGTTTGGGGTCATGGGATTTCAAGGCCCTCGGTGGGTGGGGTGACCCTTCTTTCCAGTCAGGCTCTTGGGGAGGACCCTGGATTGGGAGCTGGAGACACTCAGCTGCTGATCAGAAACTTGTGGCATTGTTAGGGGACCCTTGAGGAGCCCCTTCTGCTTCAGGGTGGATGGATCATGGAAGGTGACAAACCCAAGGTCAGGAACCCAATTGGGCTGTCTACTGAGAAGCAGGCAAGGCCCAGGGACCTGTCCATACTTCGCTCGCCTCAACGCTTGGCTCATGTGTCAGACCCTTGGCCAAGCGTGTGAAATGCTGCTGCTTCAAATGAAAAGGGACCATGGGGACTGGACCGAAGGTTGCCTAGAGCGTGGGCTTCCAGCCTCATCTGGCTCACCTAGTGCCATGTGAATAGCATGGACATAGAGAAATAACAGAGTCGCAGTTCTCGTTTGATTCTTTATTTATTCCTGGGGAGTTTGCTTTACTTTATTAGAGCCAGAAATTGATTTTCGGTTACAAGAGAGTGCTTTTCACGGTCCCTAGGGATCTGGCAGTTCAGGGACTGGGCTTGTCCTTGAAATGCTTACAGAGGGCACACTTGTAATCTGAGATCTCACCCTGCTTTTCCTCTGACTCAGGAGCATCATCTGGGGCCATGACTGAAAGGGCCGCCATCAGGATGGAGTAACAGGTCTTGTACACATCCATCGCTGAATCGTAATCTGGGTATTCCAGGGGGTTCCCAGGCAGTTCCCTTGAGCTGTTCCTTCCAGCAGTAGCCAGGGGTATAGATGTTGCATTGCTGGACATGCCCTCCCCACTGAGGCCACCGTGCTCACTGGGGAGATGGTTTCCTCCACCCTGCCTGTCTACACTGCCCATAGAGCAAAGGCCAGAGAACACAAGTGAGCGCCGACTGGGGGTTCTGCAAGCAGTTGGGATTCCCTTCTGGACTTTCCTGCCTGCTTCTTGGGTGCACTGGTCGTGGTGGAGTCGAGGAGAATGTCTGGTTTCCACCGCTTGCTTCTTTCTCTTTGGAATGGTTGTTGTGCTGGTGGCAGGCTGAGCCGTTGTTCTGGGGTTGCCTTTCCTCCAGATGTTCTGCAGGAGGAGAGGCTTGTCTCTCTGAAAATTGGAGTTGTGATAGATCTGAAAGGACAAGAATCACTTTAGCCATCGTGAGGGAGAAGAGCTGTTCCTCGCCACCTGCCTTCCCACCACCATACCGGCCATGCCTAAGTATGGAGACAAGGTCTCTTCATTCTTGGCAGGTTGTGAGGCCCTAGCATGTCGATCCCTAGAGCTCCCCCTGGGCTGGCCTCTCTTGAGATGTTACTGGTGCTCCCTGAGGAGCACCTCAAGTGGCCCCTCAGGGTCTGGAGTCACCCCTGTGGGTCCTGTCTAAGTGGGGTGGTGGAACATGACAGAATCTGCTTTCTCCTCTTTCCTTAACTACTCTCTCAAGAGAAAAATGTTATCCCGGGAAATGAAACCTGTCCAGCATTTGGCACATCTAGTCTAGTCTCCCTGCAAGGGCTTTCTACGCTAGCATCATCATCTTCTTCCCTGCATAGTGACCTGAAGGGTGGATTTTACTGAACCCATACAGCTTCAGTTCACAGATGAAACTCTTGACGCTGTCTGTCTCAAAGATCTTGTCCACACATCTGTACTGGGGGAGATCTGCCTCTGTCTGGAAGAAATCTGCCTCGATGACACTGTGTCTCCCTCATCATCCCAGTGCACAGAGGTGAAGGCCACATCCTCCACGATCACCCAGAGCTTCCTGAGGAAGGAGAGTCTGAGGATGCTGTTGTTCTCTTCCTCATTAGGCATTTCTGGGTTTGGGCCCTGTGGAGGTGGTTTGTCACAGAGGCCTGGATCTGGGCTCTCAGGTTGGTCACGCTGCTACTGCAAAGCCTCGCCTGAATCCACATTTGGATCCGGGGAGGAATCACAGGGGTCCCCTGCTGAGGGCTCCCCATCAGTTGATGGGGGCAGTGGGGCTGCACGTGCCTCATGGGAACTCTGGCTAGCCATGGAGCTAGTCAATCTCAGGAGCATTCTCTACCCCAGCAGTGAATGCTCAGGGCAGAAGGGCCTCAGACCAGGGTCGGGGTGCCCAATAAATACTCTCTGGAGATTCTAGAATATGGGTCACAGGCCAGGCAGGTAATAAAGTGGTCAGCTTCCTTAAAAGATAACAGTATTTACTGTTGAAGATGAAAGTGAGGTTCAGGAAGGGGGTAAAATATGGACTTTTGTTTTTACTCAATTGTATCATTTAATATTATAATTATTGGATAAATGGTTGTCCAAGTAAATAAAAGGATAAATATATGTGACTTACCATTCAAGAGGGAAAACCAGACACAAACAATACCTATAGAATGATCCCATTTGAATAAAGCAAAGCACATTGTGTATGTATATATTTACATATATGAACGTGAAAGGAATAACATTGGAAGGGTGTTCACTGAGAGTTTGACAGTGTTCATCTCTGTGAAGGGAAGGGGACAGAGTTGAGAGTGTGACACTCTTTCTTCTCTATTCTTCCCATTGTTTGAACTCTTTACAAAGAAAATACAGTCAGGGAGCATGGAAGCTGCTTTTATGTGTCAACTTGGCTAGGCTATACTGCCCAGTTGCTTGATTAAACATGTCTCTAGATGTTGCTGTGAAGTTCTTTTTAGATGTGATTGACATTTAAATTAGTGGACTCTAAATAGATTATTCTTCATAATCTATGTTGGCTGCATCCATACAGTTGAAGGCTTTAAGAGAAAAAGACTGAGGTCCCTCAAAGAGGAAGAAATTCTGCCTCCAGACTGCCTTTGGACTAAAGCTGTAAAATTAACTTTTCCCTGAGCCTTCAGCCTACATGCCTGCACTGAACAATTCAGAGATACAGATATAGATACAGACATAGCTATAGATACAGATATAGTGTGTGTGTGTGTGTGTGTGTGTGTGTGTGTGTGTGCACGTGTGTGTATGTGTGTATGTGTTTCAAACACATGCATTGGAGCTGAAAAGGCCTGACTTGGAATTCCAGCTTCCTCACTTTTTTTAAATTAAACTTTATAGATTTCTATTTACTCGTTGGTATAAACAAGGAAAATAATGGAAATAATCATTTGCCTTACTCTGAAAATCAAATGATATAGTGCTCGCGTGGTTCATTGAGCATTATCACAATTCAGCAAATGCCATTTATTGTGATTAAAAATGTTTTTCAGGTTTCAGGGTAGTTTTCGGCAGACAAATTTGTCTGAGAACAACAGGAAAATCCCATTATAACATGATGTATTCCTGCCACAAAAACATAAATGATAGTTATGTGATTTGACAGACGTGTTAGCTAACCTTAAGGCTGTAACGCATTACAACATATAAGTGTATAAAGTCAATGCATTGTACACCTTAAACTTACATGATGATATAGGTCAATTACATCTCATTTTAAAGGAATTAAAAAATATATATAATGTAGGATAATGGCATGAGGGTGGACTAGGAATAACTATAAATGAGAAGGGTGCCTAAAGTTCATCTGCATGGAGGATTTGTTACCGGGTACAAGCTCTTCAGGTGGCACAGGTGGTAAAGAATTCGCCTGCCCATGCAGGAGAAGTAAGATACGTGGGTTGAATCCCTGGGTTGAGAAGATCTCTTGGAGGAGGGCATGGCAACCCACTCCGGCATTCTTACCTGGAGAATCCCACAGACAGAGGAGCCTGGCAGACCAGAATCCATAGCGTTGCAAAAAGTCGGACACGGCTGAAGCTATTTAGTATGCATGCAAACACACCAAGCTCATACTGCTAAGCACATGACAGGCCAAATACATAGAGAGACAAAGTGTTGGGGCAAGCAATAGTGACTTTATTCAGAAAGTCAGTAGATGAGAAAAATGGACCATTTGTATCCCAAAGAACCATTTTACCCGAGTTAGAATTCAGGCTTCTTTTATAGTAAAAAGGGAGAGTGTGGCTGGTTGTTGCAGACCTCTTGGTACCAGACAGACCCTGGAAGAAATGTGATAATTCCTTGTTCTTGCAGGTGTCCAGGTAGGTCACATCATGAAATTCCTGTTAACCTTCAATAAGACAAATGTTACTTTCTGTTCTGCAACTTTTTATCTCTGGATGAATGAAAAGTGTTGTGACCTTTAAGGTTACAGCCTGGGAGTCAGAGACTTGAGAAAAGGTCTATTATATATTTTAGGCTATAGGCAATGTTCTCTTACTGATTGAAGAGATGAAGGTGCAGAGCCAGCATGACTAAGCACAGGTGACAGAGCACAAAGATTAGAGCTAAAGGAAGAGATTCAATAGGGATTCAGACTTGTTCTTCTCTGATACAGATTTATGGGATTTTCTACTGTTCCTTGGACTGTTAATATACATAAACATTTTTTCCTTTGTATATATGCAATATTTAAAAACAATAACATTAGATTACTAAATAGAAAAAACAATTCAAAATACGACAAAAAAAAGTTTAAAGCCATTGGAGAACTGCTGAAGTGATCAGGACTTAAGGAGCCAACATGCTGGAGAAAGGAGAACCATGGAAAGATACACTGACATATTGCAGCTTCATTTCCTCTGGAGAAAGTTTCCAATTCTAGGGCACAGTGAAGGAGGATGAGAATCCAGGCTTCATCCAGGTAGATGGCGATATCTGGTGACCAGAAAACCAACGCAGATTTCAGTGATCTCACAGGCCCAGAGAGACAAAATTAGAGACTTAAGGAGCCAAGATTGCAATGAGAAAGAAGAGATAGAGGACTGAGTCTGTCACATTGCAGTCAGAAGCTAATGAGCTAAGCAGAAAGCCTTTCTAAGACAGATAATAGTATTTGTCTCATGGTAAGAAAAAGAAATAAAAAATATTCATGATTAGAAAAGAAAAACCGCTATTAGCTGAGGACAACAGTTTTTATATATAAAAATCTCATGAAGTGAAAGTCACTCAGTCATGTCCAAATCTTTGCAACACCATGGACTGTTGGACTATACACTGTATACATTGTAGAGTCCAACAGTCCATGAACTTCTTCAGGCCAGAATACTGGAGTGCGTAGCTTTTCCCTACTCCAGGGAATCCTTCCAACCCAGGGATTGAACCGAGGTCTCCCGCATTGCAGGCGGATTTTTACCAGCTGAGCCACAAGGGAAGCCCAGGAAAACTGGAGTGTGTAGCCTATCCCTTCTCCAGTGGATCTTCCAGATCCAGGAATCGAACCATGATCTCCTGAATTGCAGGCAGATTCTTTACTTACTGAGCTATCAGGGAAGCTCCCAAATCTCATAGAATCTGCCAAGAAAAACCTACTAGAAGTAATAAGTGACTTTAGCAAGGTTGCAGGGTATACGTGTGTTAGTCGCTTACTTGTGTCTGACCACATAACCCCATGGGCTGTAGCCCGCCAGGCTCCTCTGTCCATGGGATTCTCCAGGCAAGAATACTAGAGTGGATTGCCATTTCCCTCTCCAGGAGATCTTCCTGACCCAGGGATTGAACCCGGGTCTCCTGCATTACAGGCAGATTCTTTACCATCTGAGCTATAGGGAAGTCTGGGACTTCAACGGGGTATGAGAAAGCTTGGGGGGGGGGGGGATGGAAATGTTTATTATCTTGATTACCATGATGGTTGCATGGGTGTATACAGATATTAACATTAGTCAAAGTGCACACTT